AACTAGTTAAAGTGTTATTGCTCACTTCATTTGTGTGAATTTTCATAAAATTCATTTAAAATTTAGTATTAAAAATTATATAGATTGTATTAAAAATAATATATAATTTTATCAATAATATAGCGGCAGGATCTTCTTACACTGGTATAAGTCTAAAAACTCTTACACCTAGTCTGAACCTTTCATTTAACTTACAACTAACGAGTTATAATTTATTACTTCATTTTCCGCTAAATGTAAGTTAAATGAAAGGTTTAAATTGAGTATAAGAGTTTTTAAACTTACACTGGTATAAGAAGATCCTTCCCCTATCTTTAAATAAAAATATTTTACTTTTACGTTCCTGTCAGTTGTCTTTTATTAAAACTTTCAAATAATAGTTGTAGTCAAATATAATTAATAAATGAAAATATTTGAGGTTCTCAATAAATATGAGTGTTATTATAAAGTCAATTAAAAATTTTACAATAAAAAATGTGTGAATACCAATTTTTGCCTTCCTCATATTACCTCCAAAATTTTAAAAAATATAAAAAATTAAAAATTAAAATCATTTTACAAAAAAACAGAAAATTTTTAGAAAAAAGAGTTTGGTTCCGAAAGTGAAAGTCCTATGCTATGCAGGCTCATACCCAGTATCAAAGACCAGTCTTAAGTATAAATATGAAAATATTCAGAACTTTTAGCATTTTGTAAAAACCCTAAACATACCAGTATAAAATTAGAAGTAAAAAATTTAGGCGGGGTTTTTTTTAGAGGGGAGAGGGCAAAAAAAAATTTGGAAGAAGAGAGAACAAGTATTCAGGGAGAGGAAAAATCAAGAAGGCTTTTTTTCAGAGGAGATTTGAGAAAGAAGGAGGGAATAAAGCAAAGAAAGACGAAGGATCAGAATATAAAAAAAAAAACTAATACCAAGAAGAAGAAAAAAGTAGAAAAAAATCAAACCAAAATAGAGAAAAGAAACTGTAATATTCCAACCAACTATCGTCCTCCTTACTTATTATCCTGGCCACCCATCATTCTTTTGCTCAGATCTGGAATATCCCTTAACTTTTTAAGGTATGAATATTGTTCTTGGACCATGTGTTGAGTTTTGTTAAATAAATAATAGACCGTGTGTTGAGTTTTGTTAAACAAATAACGTAAAGCAAAATATGAAGATAGAGACAGTAGCTTGCGGATTAATAGTTAACTAAGTTCTTTTTATTTTTTCTTTATTTATTTCATTATTTTGTTATTAAAATAAAAGAAAGAAAAGTTTGATAAAATGACATTTGAAGATCTTAAATCGATACTACAGCTTTTTTACATTTCATATCCATAATGTACTATTACTTTTACAATCGGAACGGAAAAAGTGTTGGGTGATTAGATAGAAAGTCATTATAGCTTCAGAGTAGGTTTCAGAATATATGCCATTAATCTTCACCATTTATGATATTCATTTTTAATCATTATTATTTGTTTATTATTTTTTATTCTTTTATTAGTTTTTTCTTTTCTTTTCAAATTTTCGGTTTTAGGTAGTCAGCTTGCAAATCGAGCGTGAAAATTTTAAGGTTTAAAAAAAGATTTTTTTATTTTAGAATTAAATTCCTTTTATTTTTTATTTTTTTTATTTTTATTCATTCATTTTTTTTTACTTTGTTCTTTAGTATTATTCTCTTTTACTATTTTATGTAAATTTAGAATATAATTTAATTCTATACTTATATTTTTATTTTTTATTTTATGGAGATAAATTATATCTTAAATTTATTTTACAGTAAATGAATAAATAATACATGTTTGCATTAATTTACAATATTAGCGTGTAAATTTTCTATCGTTGTGTGTTATAAATTAATAAAGTCTAAGTGTACTAATGTTACCTTAGGTTTTATATAATATAAATTTAAAAAATAAAATTTTTAATCTTTTTATTAAATAAGTATATTTTTAATCAATTCAAATATATTCATTTCTTTTTTAAAACGAAATTAATCTTATATTTTAAATTTCTTAAATCATATTTCTAATTTTGATCAATAAAAAAAAATTAACACTTTCTTACTTATTTATACAAATTTCTATAATATCGACGTGTAATTTACATTACCTTTAATAGTCTAATAAATATAAGATATTTATGTATAACTTACGATATCTTAAATCTCTTTCAATATTAATCATGATTAAAATTTAAAATTCAAATACTTCATTTACGAATAAAATATTTCTTAACGATTTGTAATATAGTTATGTGATCTTCCTTCACTTTCTGTATTGTTTCTCGTAAGGTACATGTATAACCGCTTTATCTTGTACCCTAAACATTATAATTTTATGAAAATTATTTTAATCTCAAAACAAATTTTCTTTACTAAACTTAATTTTAATTAATCAACCTCATAATTTTTTAGATAGAACTACGTGACTTTGAGTTCTCCATTGCACCTGGAGATATGTAGGAGCGGGAATCATACCCGTCAAGTCAAAATAATTTTTAAAATAACCCAAATAATATCTTAATAAATAATATTTCTTCTTCTAAAATAAAAATAATTAATATTTAGAGATTAAATAAATATTTTTCAGAATTTAAATAAATTTTCACATTTAATTTTAGGTAACCATTTTAAATGGACGTTGTGGAGTGCTAATACCTTCTCCACACATAAATGACTCTCGAACTCATTTTTTGTTTCAAAGATCATATTATTTTAAAAAGTTTTTCCAAGATTTTCCTAAAATAAACTTTGGTGACAACTCCTCTGCTATTTTGAAAACGTTTTATATTTTTGCCGTACCGTTATAACTGTCACAAAATATTTTGAAATAATTAAAAATATCAACAATATAAGATAAAGGAAGTACAAGGAATATAATTAGTGGGCCTTTTAAGTTTCAAACACCTGCATATGAACTTGTTGAACTACAAGTTAAACGGGCTAAAGCCCAACGATCAGTAGTAGGCTTAGAGTCTTGTTTGAAACGTTATTGCCCGTTTTGCTCTTGACCCAATGTAATTTCTCAATTAATTTGATGTCCAAACTAAAGTAGACCAACAACTTAACTCAATGCATTTTATAATACATTTTATTTAATAGTGAACATTTATTTAAAGTAAGTAGAATTTATTGAATTAAGAATAAGATTAATAATTTTTAATACATTGTTAGTAAACCATAAAGAGGGTGTTAAATTATATTGCCATTATTTATGGTACTAGCACAATTAAGGTTCCCGATATCTCTAATTCTTCGCTAATTCGTAGGTTCTCTTCTCATTAATGGTTTAGATATTATGAGTACTAGTGTTGGTTACTTGTGCTTCACTTTCTCTTCCAGTAGTCGTTCAGTTTTTAAGGAGAGTTCATATTTAGATAAGCGTTTCTTATCTAAATCTTGATATGCCTACCCCCTCCCAGTCATTAATTAATATGATAAAATATGTTAATTTTATTGAAATATTTTTTTATTAAAAGTGTTGCAGTTGTTATGGTGGTAAAAACTATTTATAAAATAATATTACATCTTATTTGTTTGTGTAGAAATTCAAGATAATCCTCCTTCCAGTTTTTCATATATGAAACAATTCTCACTCTTTTTTACAAAATATAAAAAATAGACTCATTTTTAAATATATTAATTTTTTATATTTTTATTTTATGAGAGATTTTTATTAAAAAGACATTCCCCCATTATTTATATAAATAAAAATATTAATATATTTAATGCATGATTATCAATTTGAGCATTTATTATTATAAATATTTTTAAAATATATTATAAATTTATGAGATATAAATACTTTTTATTGTTTACAATCAATTAGTTATTTGTTTCTTATAAAATATTTATACTGTTTATTAGAAATATTTGGTATAGACTATTCCGAATTAATAAGGATAGTAAAAGAAACTAATAGATTGGATCTTAATATAATTTTAAAATGATAAATAATATGAATTAAATAAAAGAGTTTTGTTATATGTAGTTATACATTCTGTTATTAATTTTCTTACTATATTATATATATATATATATATATATATATATATATAAAATTAAAAATTTATGAACATAAAAATAAAATAATTTGGAACTGCTTAAATAAAAATATTTAAATAACTTGTAATATAAAACAAAGTGACTACTATACCTAAATCTATTCAGATAACTGAAATCCATCACCCTTGTACATACTTTCATATTTTTTTAGTGCAAAGATGTCAAAATAGTTCAGTTTCAATCAACATATAGGTATTGCTCACTATTATCGACGTGTGTTCACTCTTTGAAATTGATCAATAAAAAAAAAAACCCCATAAATTAACAACTATTTCATTCTCTTTTTTGTTCTCCTTTTCTTTGTTATTATATTGTGCATGATATTTATCATTTTCTTTTTCAATTCCTATCTTTCTCTTCTTCTCAAGCCGTATATACCCTTAATGACAGTGTGCAAAAAAAATTCTCTATCTCTCTTTAATAAGTAAATGCGTTGTGGGTTCCACCGAATGAATTGGAAGACAATCTGCCATGTCCAAATTACGTTGATAATAGCATTCTTCCATGACAGTATAAAAGATTTGTTTACTATAACCAAGCACGTCATGTTGGGTTCCACTTAATATACAAATCAAAATCAGACTTTCCGAGACCATGTTTTACGAAATGTTGGTCATGGTAACCCCATTTGACTACTAACACCAAGGAAAAGAAAAAAAAATGTTCAGCAAGACTAATTAATTAAGAAAAAATAAATTAAGAGAACTTGTTAGTTGGGTGAAGCCCTAGTTTTCTTACAAGTTTTAGGGTTTTGCTCCCTAAGCCTGGCCACTAGAGGTAAAAAAGTAAAGACTTAATAAACACACTCCACTTACATATTCCTAATTACACACATTTGGCAAAATTGTAACCTAAAACGTTCTCCTAGGTTGTTTACTAGCTCCAAGACCAAGCGGTTGTAGTGAAAATATAGGTCATCTTTCTTCTCTCCTCACCAAGTTTTAACTTTTATGGACCAACCGGCAATTGCTTGTTATGTATGGGACGTCGTCTACTCACTCGAGCATAATCCATAGTAAAGTATTGTGAAGGGTCATCCACCTCCATCCATGCTTGTTTTGTCCCCCTGTGGCTAAGCACCATGTTTTGCTTTCCATGATATTGCTTCCCTGTAAAAGTTGCATAATTTCATAAACATGTTGAATTAGTGAATCTTGTATTTTAAAGTAATATAATACAGTACATGGGTGGATTGCAAATCTAATATAAAATATACGGTATATATAATACAATGCCCTTTTGAATTTAATATATGTTGTATCACTAGCTTGTTATTATTTAGGCTCAATTATAAAACGTAAAAGCATGACTGCTTTTGAAAGATATGCCGGATAGAAGGGGTCCCTTCATTGGTAGCATAATATATGTCACTGTTCTATTGTTAGGCTTATCGTATTTGAGATATTTTTTTATTTTGGTTCTTCTAAATCACTCGACTAGACTTTGTTTATTAAGTATATCTCGATAGGTTGAGAAAGATAAATGTTTAATATACTAATTTTAACCTCGACTCATGCATATTCAACATGAGACTTTGAGGAATGCAACAATGATCGCTTTTCAAACACCGAATTTGTAGCTATTTTATCGAGTAAGAAGTTTATTTTGCGAGAGCACAAGTTTTTCTAATTCATTATTCCAAGAATTATTGTCATCATCAATTACAAAATTTCCCGGATGACCAAAGATCAATACACACCTTCAAAAATATCAAAGGGAATTTCTTGTTCACAACAACTAAAGAACAAGCACAAAAAATAATACAAGAACATGTAACGAAGTGGAGTAAAGTCAAGTTTAAATGAAGATAATACCCCATAATATGTGGCTAGAGCTTTTTCTTTATGACTTAATATGGAAAGTTCACAACAGGAATCCTATGTTATGTATGCACATAATGACATGCATTCATGTCAAAGCCTGAATACGGACAAGAAAGGCCAAGTGATGATTGGCTTAGAGAGAGGAATAAGTTCTTTGAGTAATAGTGGATTAAAACGTTTATAGCAGTGCGAGCACACATTAAAGAGAAAGGGTGGGCCGGAAGAGGTGGATATGTTAAACACTAAAGTCCATAAATGCCACTCGTTTCATTACTTTTTGTTTTTCACTACTTTGGTTACCCCCTAGCTTGATAAAACCTTACTTGATTTGGTGCATGAACCTTGAAAAGTGAATAGAGACTGCGGCTTACCTAGTACTTAAAAAATGCTTTCAAGTTATGAGATATTACATGGACAATGCAGTCCAATGTTTTTTTTAAAAAAAAATTAGTGATAATTTTAATAACTAACAATTTTTTGTTGATAATTACCAGCCGAAAGGGAATCCTCCTGTTGGTGTGATGCAAGATCTCTAGCTTCAGCATTAACCTACTTGTTTGCAAAAAAATTAAGGAATAAATAACATCAATATTGAAAAAAAAAAAATTACAAGGACTAGAGAAGCTTCTCTAGATATTTATGCACTACCTTCTCAGTGAATCTTAGCTTTCTGGGAAGCGTTGGAAGAGAAAGCTGCAGGTTTGAATTGGCTGCTCCTATTATCAATATTTATGAAGAAGAATATATAAATTTAATGATAATATAATAAAGGACTTATTAAGAAGTATTTAGAAACTTATTCACTTGTATAAGTTCATGAAGAAATAAATAAAGAGAGAAAAAGATAGAAGGTGCTTGCTTACCTTCAAGCTGGAGTGAAGATGGAAAATGAATTTGGGAAGAAGAACAAGTTGGTAATAAAGAAGAGAGGGAAAAGCTAAGAAGAGTAATGATGATTATTATCAGCTCCATTTCTTTTCTTGAGAAGATGCACGATATACTTTCTTCAGCAGGTAGGTTTAGCTTATATACACAACCAAGAAGGAAACCACACATTGACAAGGCATGAGAGAGAGATAGAGAGAGACCTTACACAAAGCACAAAATGCAAAGTTCCAAAACAAGTACAGGAAAATCTTAAATATTCACAACTCACTTATGCGTTAGTATATTGTCATTCTATAAAATGTCTATTATTACTTCTATTAGTTTAAGTGATTTTTGTTTAAAATAAATTTTTCTGTTATAATAATAGTATAAGTGTTCACATGAAAATTTCTTAAATGGATGTGACAATAGACACATAAAAATAACAACTGACATTTTTCTCACTTTTAATTTACTTTTTTTTTAAGGAGGTTTCACACAATTCAGGCTGGTTTTTCACCTAATGCTGTAGGGCCCTTAGTTTCTTACTTTCAGTTTTAACGATGCTTTGTCTTTCTGCATTGCCTTCTTAACCACATATATATGCTAATAATACTCATCTAGATTCAAAAGCAGCTCCATCTTTGTTGCCTGTATAAAGAAAGAACGTATTTGATGTTTTCATTGTCGTAGTTTCATCTAATATACATTTTAAAGGAATTAAAGATAATTTGAATTATTAGTTAATGAGATAAGCAGTTATACTCCCTTCTTTAAAGTTGTCAATGTATAGGGACGATCAATTTATCTGCAGAAAAATATTTTGTTGTAACTTTCTAAACATTTTTAATGTTTTTTTTTTTTTTAATTCAAACTCAAATAAGGTTGAGATTTAAAGTTATCATAAATTACTGACGTAAAATTTTAATTTTGATCAAATAATAATAATAATAAAATTAAAGTACCAAAAATGTTTTTAAAAAAAAGGAGTAAAAGATCTTGAAAATCTACCTTTTGGTTTGTGAGTCACTAGAAGATTTTTGTTTACAGGGGTCTAATAAAAAAATTGATTACAAATGAGTATAACGTTCAACAATCCATTTACAAAATTTTAAAAGTTCATAACAGTTAATTAATGGTCAACCAAACAAAAAGACCTAATTTCGAACGGACTACAAAATTCAAGAACCTATTTACAACTTAAAATTTAGAGACTGATTTACAATATTTCTTATATTTAGGGAGCTAATGCATAATATATGCATAATCAATTGATAAGTTCATATTTTGATATATTTTATTATTTATATTTATATACTTAAACCTTATTTTATATATATTTACACTAATTATGTTATTAATTGTTACAGTTTAGCTGGAAGTTGTTATTAGTGAATTATGGAGATATTCTAGAAAAAAAAGTAAATACTTTTAGTTCTTGCTATACTATGTGAATCTGAGTTTGAATTTTGGAATTAAAATTTAAACTTAGATAAAGATTTGAAGCAATTTTTAATTAAGATTTTGATTGAAAATAAAACTAATTTAAAAAGATAGAGCTCAACCAATTGGAAACTCAAGGCACAATCTATATAAAGAGGCCTTATGCTCCACACTTGATACTTTCACTTCTCTACACACCTCTTTAGTTCTACCCAAACTCATCTTTAATAGTTATTGGAGACTATTAGCAAGGAGGACGAGCTTCCCTTTGGAGTCCAAACAAGTGATTAAGCGCCCTTTTGGAAAACAAGAACTCTCTTCGTCTTCTATCTTTCTGAGTTTCTTTTGTTTGAATTTTCCTTTGTGGTTATGAGTTTATTTATTATGTTCTTCGTAGTTTGTTTCGTTATGAGTAACTAAACTCATAGCTAAGACTATGATGGATCCTACTACAAATTTTATGTGATTTTTACTTTAATGTTGGTATTGATTTTCTTTAATGTTTGATTTTATTCTATTGAATTATATTGTGTATGTTAAGATTTGATCACCCTTAGCATCTCATAGTTAGCTGCATTGTAGACGATCATACCACATGTAATTAACAGAACTATAGAATAAAATGAGATAAGGGACTAGATTAATCACACTTAATTCCTTTCTTTCAATAGTTATTAAATTAACAAACTCATAAGATCTTCATACTTTCTTGATCAATTATCTTGCATGATCATTGGGGACATTTGCTCAAGAAAAAAAAATATTGACATTGCATAATCATTAGGTATTAATAGAACTAATTATAAGTGGTTGGTAAATATTTGAATACCAATATAAGAATTAAATTAATTAAAACATAAAGAATTATAAAATATAAACTCATAAGTCTTAGTTTCATCTCATCTAATCTCTCTCATATATAGTATTATTATTTTTTTAATTTATTATTAATATTAAATTTTATTTTTTGTCTATTAAAATCTTGTTACATTTAAATAATTAAATTAAACTATTTTTATTATTTAAAAATAAGTTTTATGAGACGATAACTTGTGAATTCTTTTCAAAATTTCTTTATTATTTTTTTATGGAACGTTTGTCTTATTAAAAACAAAAGGACTTATGGAATGGAACTTTCTAGCTAGCTATATGGCAGTGCAGACCATAGGAAAGCGAATTTTCTAAGATTCATGTGCTATAACAGATACAACTGTACGGGTTTACCATTCAGCTGTATCGCCATTTAAGGCCCTCCAAACACACCCAAGTGGGCCGACATTCATGCAAGTCAAGAAAATGCTACTAGTGTTCATACATTTTTATATGTTGTGGAAACTGCAAACAGAATCAAATTATGGTAAGGTTACACGTCTTGCTTCCATGTCACAGTCAAAACATACATATATATATATATTTATCAACCCGTTGAAAGACTTGCGATTTTCAAAGCTAAGCACATGCACCGTAGTTCATGAAACATTAGGGCGCAGTATTTCAGGAGAGGTTAGCTTTTTGTCCAATTGTGCCTCTCAAACATAAGAATTATGAAATTAGTATCTAATGCACGACACAACTTTTGCATTCACAAATTATGAAGAGGCAACTTAAATATCAAATTTGATTACTAATTAATGTTGGTATCCTTCGCTGAATATTGAATATAGATTACATAGACAAATTAAAAAAAAAAACCCTTGTTAATTTCTTTTATTATTTATTACTGTATTTCTTTCTATAAATATACGTCATTAACCAAGAACAAAATTACAAAAATGGCAACAAAAAATATTAGAAAAGAAGTTATGTTTTAATGACTTGGTCAAAATTTGTTAAATTAACAATATGCCCATATTGTGGTCCAAAAGTTTCCTTAAAGCTATTAAAAGTGCAGCATATGCAAAATAATTTGTGCAGGAAAAAGCATATTTCCTTTTGTTTCCCGGCTATCCTCACTGTTTGTTTGTCCTCGCCATACTAATCCATAGAACGTATTGTAACATGACCTCCACACGATGAATTTAATAAAATTTGACTGTGGATAGATTCAAGAATGAGGAGAGAGTATGTTTTAATTCGAATGACTTATTTATCTGAAAAAATCTTAATAAATTAGACTCACAACACTTTTCCTTATATTTCCTTTAATTTGTTGTTAATCCGTTAATATAAGATTTATGTATTGTCTAACAAAATTCGACTCAATCCTACAATTTTTGTTTAAGCAATGGTTAAGCTATTGTACCTATTATACTCTTCACATCAACCAGTATCTAAGGCACAATTCTTGACAAGCAATCGTTGCTTATTTAGAAAAAGTAATTAAGCACTCCTAGAAAAATTGATGTAATGAGAAATAGTATACAATAAATTGATGAATAGAGAAAGCAAGCTAAGGGCTGAGCAACTATGGAGGTGGGTAGGTTAGGAACCCATGTAATTTGATCTCTTAGCAATCTAAACCGCTTATGTCTAAATAGCCTCTTGGGTTGGGGGGTGATGGGCTGGGTAGGTAATAGGTTGGATGGGTGGATTAATATAGGTATGCGCTAAATCTTGAGTTAAATTAACTTTTGTCCCACATTTTAAAGAAATTTATTGCTAACAAAGTTAGATATGAGCACCGTTAGAGACAATCATCGTCAAAAGGTTAAGCTTTGTCAATAACACTAAAGATAAAGCATCGTTGAAGATGGCTACCATGGAAGATGAAGCGCTGTGAGAATGATGGGTAATGCATGGTGGCAAGGGCATCGTCGACTAAATCAGAGTGAGAGGTTGAGGTTTATGGTTTATGAGGAGAGAGAGAGAATTATGCTTCCAGTATGCTTGAGACAAGAGCGCTCGTAAAAACAATATAATTAACTTTAGATAACTTGAAGGCTTAAATAATAAATTTTTTAAAAGTTAAATAAATGCTTCAAGTATAGATGATTAGATGCAGCTAATGGTAGAAAACCTTTTAAGATGGAAGGAGATAACATTAAAAAGATAATCTCAAAACAGAAAAAATTTATGAAGAATATACAAAACTTAGAAAATAAACTACTGAGAAGGCTTTCATAGTGCACCAATTTTGAGTTCAACAATTGGCAATATGGTAAACTTGGTGCCTATAACTCCACGAAGCCTTCTTAGAGCCATTGAATTGAATGCCCTGAATATTACAGTGAACATTGCACGTTGGAGGTTGAAAATTTTTTGGAAATCAAATTGACAGATTTTTAAAAAAATTATTAAAAAAAATTAGCTGAATTATACTACTATATTTTCACTAAATGTCATATGACATGTACAAAAGTACGTTCTCAGTTAACATGTTTATTAGAACATCTAACAGCTGGATGATAGTAAAAACTAATCTGAATAACAATGGCAAAAGTTAGAGGTTATTATGACATTTTACTCAAATTGAAGACCATTCTAAATTGCTCTAAAAATAATGAGGACCATAATGGTAATTTTTTTATACATATAATGTGAAAAGACCATAAAGATGAGTTTGAGAAAAATTTTGGAAAAAATGAATGATGGGAATTTGTTTATTTAAATTTAAGAAAGTCATATAACTTTGTAAAAATAAATATAACATTTTAGATTGATTTATTATTTTTTATTTCTTTTAATTTAAATAATATTAACAATCTATTTATGATTGTATGATCTGCATTAGTTCCTGTTATAAGAGCATGCTCTCAAAATACTAATAAATTTCTCGTCAAGGGGAGTTTCATTGCTAATATCATGTATAGCTAAAATACAGTTTTAATAATATTTACCATTTGAAACAAAATTAATGACAAGAAACTTTCAATATCAGGACATACTCCAAACTTTCAAGAAACTTTTAATAATATTATGCCAATCTCTCATAACATATGCAACATTTTAAATTAGATTCTTAACAAAATCAGATTAAATGAGCTAACTTCAAATTTTAGAGCCTTTTGTTGCACATTAAATGATGCAAAAGTAATATGTACTAGGAATTTTTTGCAAATGAAATGAAATAAAAAATCAATGAAACCATGTATAGGCAAAAATAAAAGAACAAGCAGATGCAAGCAAAGCTAAAATCTAATACTTTTGCCTGCAGACATACATGAGCACTGACTGGCCATTTTAAACCTACTGCACACTAGTGAACAGCTAGGGAGATGTATAAGCATGATACTCAAGCAGAAATTTTTAATGCTATATATGAATTTTGGCCTATTAAGAAAAAGAAACTAATCTTAGAATTTACAGCAAAGAAGGCCCTGCCTCCAACACCGATGCTTCCGGTAATGCCTTCTGTCAGCTTTCGCCATTCTGACCGGGCTGCTATTCCATTCAGATTGCAGTCTGCAAGCACAAGAAGGAAATCAACCTATTAGTCATGCATTGCTGACAAACGGGTAATGAAAATATACTAAAAAGGGTTTCTTGCAATTTACATGGGAAATGCAAAGGACCGCGTGCTTGTAGTGCTGCTATCCGATCGGAGAGAGATACTACCAGAATAAGGTACAGGCCCTGAGTAACTTATTCGACCTGACACGGGGCCTATTGCTGAGAAACTTGACTCGCCTAAGCTGTGACGGACGTGACTGATTGTACCCTGATCATCAGACTTCCCTTCTACAAGCTTGGAACTATGTTGAGTTTCATCACATTTACTGTCACCAACTTGGTTACATTCCTTTTCAGCACAATCTGCAGGAGCCGAAGGATCAATTTGTTGATTGAAGGTTTCATTCTCTACAAGCATGCTATCACTATTTGGTTCACTGTCTCCTGATGCCAAACTGGAACTTGACAATACTGCTTCCTCAACCGTAATTTTAGAATCTTCAGATTGAGAGTGCAATTCACGCTCACCAGAGATCTGTAAATATAACACAAATATCATTTTATGAAACTTATCTTCTCTAACAACTTCACCCATGCATGTGCATACAGACAAAAGGAAATGAAGTCCAAAAGAAAATATCAAAATTTGACCAACGATAAATTTTGATTCAATAAAAGCACCAGGAGATCTGCTGCTTGTCACAACATACATACAGGGAAAAATCAATGACCTAGAAATGGTAGGTAAATTGCAAATACTAGATAATATGTTTCTTAAAAAGTTTTAAAATCTTTGGCATATTGCACAAACTAGTGATTCCATCACAAACACACATTCTTTTTTTCAATAATGTAATCTAATAAGTAACAATCATGAAAATTTAATAACATACCAAAGTAATTAATCAATTCCCTTCCAAAAGAACAATGAACATATGTTTTCAAACAAAATACACGGACAACATTTGATAATTTGTTCAATACCTGTTCATCCATGTCATCAGAAGGTACAGAATCCCCAGCGAGTAAATCTTGCAGCAAAATCTTATCCTCGGGTAAAACTATTTCTTTGTTGACATTACCAGAAAGTTTTCCAGTTTCATCCTCTTCTTTGTGCATCAAATCCTTAGGCTGATTACAATTAGTAGAAACCTGGTTAGACTCCTGAGTTGGTGGTAGGTTTAGTACACTGATACTGGTATTGTCTATCAGCTTTTCTTTGTTTTCATAACTCTCAGAATGGAAGATATTGTGGGCCTTTTCATCGACATTATTCACAAACATGATCTTATCCTTGGTAAGGACTCCTTCATCAACACAGATGTCCTTGACAAGATGATAATTACTCTCTTTGTAACAAACTTCTAGATCTGGTTCACATTCTGTAATAGTTTTATCCATATAGACATCTACTGAATTCTCAAACAAGTCTCTTTCTCCGAGAGGATTAGACATCGGTGAAGTAGGGGACCTTCTAACTGATTCTATATCATTTGGAAACTTCATAAATGACTCTATATCCTTGGAAGAATGAGATACTGGCTCAACTAAATCCCTTACCTGTGCTTTATAATCATTTCTCAAATCAATCATGCTGTTAGAAAAATCAAGTTTTGGTGTAGCCATACAATCAGCTGACTCCATGTCGCATTGCAATGAATCTAAACCCTGTTCATTATTCTTTAAATAAGTAGAGACTTCATCCTCATATTCCTTCACTTTCTGGTTTTGTAATTTGTATCCAGCAGGGTTTTGATCATTGTCGTTGAACACAAACGATTGAGATTCCGGCTCAAGATCTATAATTGAAAGAAAAAAAGCCAGATTACCTTCTGCACAGTCATTTTGATAGCATTGAAAAACTATAATTACTAAGGTTCAAATTTAACAAAATTAATAAGCATATTAATCATAAAACACATACCATTCAAAAATAAGTAAATCACAAGAGAGGAACCAGTGTTTGAAATAGTATATTATGGATTTCCTTAACCGAATTCAAAAGCCAAATTCACAGCCCTTAAGAGTTTAACATTTGAAATATGGGTCAAGAAACAATCCACCCTCAACCAAAGAAAAGAATCTTGGCACAACAAATTTAGCAATATACATGCGTGAGCCCCATTCCAGGGATCACAATCTTGTTACCGCCCAAATGATCAACCAAGCAATTTTTGTCCAATTAAAGCAAAGAACAAATACTTGTCTGCTGCAGACAGAGAATCAATTGCAGGGACCATAAATAAACAGTTTGTTACCTAGTTTCATGGTGTACTGATGCTTAAATACATTGGTAATTTTTCTTCGCAACAACCACTGGTATTTTGACTATTTTCAACCAAAGAGACTAGTCTGATCACACTGTATTCTGCAGGGATCTGAAAATCAGCAAGAATAAAAATTTTAGGTTAGCAAGCAACTAACAATAACTGCACTTATTGAAAACAAGAGCAATAATGAACTTATTGTTCTACACAAGTTCTCAAAGCCTAGCAACAATTACAAGATTCTAATGCCACAAAAGATAGCACATTTTGAAAAAGGAAAAACAAGAAAACAGCGAGAGAAAGAAAGAAATGAGCCAATCTTCTAGACATAACAAGCCTTAAAAAATTTCTTTAGATTTAGGTGGGAAGGAAACTGATTCTGTCACTAACCCTATATTCCTGATTCCCATACAAGGAAAGAAATCTTACCTGCTAATATCATTTAACAGAACCCCATTCTAGCCAATAAAATAAACCAGGGAGCATAAAAAAGGGACATGAAGAGTTTACCACAATTTCTAATAACAAGGTTTAGATTGAATCAGTACAACTGGGGTCCATATTCTATATTAAGCTTCTAATATCCACATATATTAATCATTTTTGTCTAAGAATATTAGTTTTCCCCATGAGCCTAAAATAATATTTAAGTACTAAAAAGCAAGTAGCAGTTGCCTTTTCTTTTTATAAGTAAGAGATTTCGCCCAAGTAGAATCCAAGGACGGTACTGATGGTATAATAGGACAAGAAAAAAGATTTAAAATCACAAACTTTTTCGAAAGTTTTCAGCTACAAAATTACAAACCGAAATTTTAAATCATAAGGCCTACATAAGCAGATGATTCCCTACAAAATCCCTACCAATACTTTGTCCTTTAGCTCTGATTATTAGATCTGACTCATCAGAATACAGAAGTTTAGAAATCCAAAAATAAAAAGTACTGCGAAAATCCCAGCTGGGTTGCAACTTAGTAACTTACACTTGAATCGCATGAAGGAAATCAGGGAACATGGTCAAAACCATAGAGATCTATCTCAGATCCCAAAAACCTTCATATCCCCATAAAATAGTAAAGTGAGTTAGGCAAAGAGAACTATGATATGCTCTACACCCAATATTCTTTTATTCAGCAAAACAAAATATTTTTAAAAATCAATTTTTTATTCTCCCTGCCTACCTTTTAGAACAGACAATTTCAGAGAAAATTCTAACTTCACCAGATATAAAAGGGTTAAATTAAAAAAATTAAAAATAAAAACGGCAACATCTATGAAACACAAGTCATTGAAATTGAAGTGAAAAATAAAAGAATATCATTTTTTGGCGATAAAAACGAAACAAAATTGATTGATCATGAACCATGCAAGGGAAGTAACAGAAGAGAGGAGAAATTCACATGGTTAAGATCAAATCAAAGGGAAAAAGAGAGAATTACCAAAGTCCAAAGCTAGCGAAGGGGAAGAGTTTCCTTGTATGTCGGTAAATGTACTCCAATGCTTAAGGGTGAAAAAGGGGCAGTGATAGATAATAAAAAATAATTAATTAATACTAATAATAAAAGCAGCCACAGAGTACTGAGAGATAATGGATGAGTTGTAATTATAGCATTCATAATGGTCAACTGTTACTCTCTCTCTCTCTCTCTCTCTTCACACATCCCACCTTCCACCTCCTCGTTCTGCAATTAATGCATTGCAAACAGAAAAACAAAGCCACAAACGGCCCCTACCCTACCCTCCAATACCCAAATTCAATATAGGGTATATTGTAGCATTAAATTATCACCTCTAACTCTACCACTGCCCACGTATCCAAATTTAATTTCACACCAAAAATATGCAACTTTGCCTCCTCTCTCTCTCTCTCTTTTCCGACTGTCCTTCATTTCCCACGATGGTTTCACTCCAAAGTCTCCATCTTTATCGGATTTCGCTAACTTTTTCCCCTTTCACCACCATCATCGTCTCTCTTATTTTCCCTCCCATTTACCGACCGACCAACCAAACCGCACCCTTAATTTTCCCAAGAAAATTCACTCGCGAAAAACGTGACTCCATTGGTGCTCCGGATCCATCCACCAAATTTCAAAGGAAATGAATAAAAACGAATACAAAAAAAAAAACGACGAAACCTTTGGCTTGCACCTTAACAAACCCGAAAAACAAAAACATGAAAAAATAAAAAAAAAACCCACCTTGAGCTGGACAAGGATGGCGGAGAATTTGAGCGTTTCTGAAACTGAACGGTGAGAGAGCAGTCCGAGGGAATTGTTAGCGTGAGGTATGACCCACCGTAAGATCTTGGAGGTTCTTGGTGTTAAAGTTATTGCGGTGTTACTTAGAACTTAGCTGTATCCCAAATCTGAAACTGAGTCTTATATACCAACTGAGGTGTCTTTTTTTTGGGTCAATGACTGAGGTGTGTGTACGTGCTTCTGTTTTTGCCTTCTCTTTCCATCTTTTATATATACATAGCCATTCTTTCTTCTTCTTCTTCTTTTTTCTTTTCTTTTTCTTCTTATTTGTTTTGACCATTTTTTGTAGGTTTCGATCTTTAAATTGGGACCCACCCAACGAAGCGGTTTCAATTTCAATATTTCATCCTCTCCACTCACGAATAGCCATTAGCCAACCAACTTTGGCTTTTGAAAATTATACTGTGACGCTGATTCGGTGGGGGTGAGGATTTTGCCAAAACCATCCATATGCTGCCATCGCCTTCTAATTCATTAATTCTATTTCCAATGTTAATTCATTTTTCTTACGATGTCTTCAGGGAGACGACAAAATAATAATAAATATTTTAATTTTTGTTTGATATTTTATCATATTTACTAAAAATTTATTGTGTATGATATGAACTTTATTTGCGGATGTTTTTAAATATTTTTTATCAATTTAATTATTAAATTATATGATTTATTTTAATAATTATATAATCATAATTTAAATATTCATAAATATATAACATAATTAAATTGACAGTTAACTTAATATTTTAAAAAATAATGAAAAGTTATATTTCATAATGTTTGATGTATGGTATCAATTAATCATTTTTCCTATTTTAAGGAATTAGTAAGGGTATATGTTTGAATTTGCATTGGGAAAAATCTCAAATTATTATTTAGGTAAAATTTTATCATTTATAATTTCCAACATGTTTATAGTAGTACTTCACAAAGGTACATGATAACATTTTTTTTAATAGATAAGCATGAATTTTCTTATCCAATTATATTATGAAATCGAAAAATATGGAAGTAATTATAATTCAGTTATCATTTGCATAGAATTTTGATAATTGGATTTGTTTTTTATATATAACATGTTTAGGAAAGAAGCATGGGAAAAGGATGGAAAGAGAAATTAAATCCATTTTAATTGTGTTAATTAATAAAGGTTGATATGTGCTTCTAACTAATGAATTAACTTACATAAAAAGGACAAGTTTATGATCTCCTGCCAAACCACTCGAGCGCTTACAACTAACCAATTTTAAATGGCTTCTAATTTTGTTGATAGGTTGAACTAAACTTTCATTGTTAACAGACAATTTATATGAAAAAAAGGAAATGGTGATGGGATACCAATATCGACCACAGTCTTATAATGATAAAGTAATGCTAATTCCTGAACTCTCTCCCTTACCAGTGCCAAGATCTCACATCCTTATTTAAGTTGTTGATTGCTCGTTGTTACATTGCTCTTAATGATGGGTAGCTAATTTAAAATGACACTTGTTAGTCCACTTCCTTGCTTGAATGTATCGTTTCGATGTCACTTTCATAACACCTATGTAATGGCCTTTTTTTACATGTTTTTACCTTAACATGCATGTTTTTAAGTTGTTAAATTATAATTTAGTGAATCTAATTCAAATTTAACATATTGTCTAATAACTACACTAATTATTAATTTATAACCTTGAGATACCAATACAATGTCATCTCATTCAATGTATTAGATTTAACCGATTAACTAAAATATATCAAGGGTGTAATATTTCTAACTAAAATTAAAGTGCAAAGAGCTAAACTAATCATCAGAAAAATGTCTAAGCTAATTCAGAACCTAAATGATTCGTATAGAAATTATGGAACTTGCTTATCTAATCAAAATACAAATACCGTGCAAGATGCATATTTAGCTCAAAGTAATGAAAGTGTTGAGCTGGTGATTACTTGCTTGATGTTATATATTAATTCCTAGTTATGAAAGACAATGCTTTGAGTTCTAGCAATATTTGTAAGCAACACTCAAATTATGATAAGAATGATGAAACTCATTTCTGATAATATTTTTAATAGCAATAATGATCAGGATTTAAATATTATAAGAAAAAAATAAAATAAAATCAGTGCTAATTAATTTCCAGTGATGCTTATCACGAATACTGGTCAATCAAGAGAATTGCATAATTGAATTAGATTACGAGCATATTGATAGACGTAAATTAATACGAACTTATGTCATTGAATATTGCATGAATCTTTTCGGTAAAAAAATTATGGTTAATTATATAGGTATTAGAAAGAAAGCAATTCATTTTAATTGCTTGTTTTACTATGACAATCAATATTCTGTTGTGAATCTATACACCCTAAAACCATTACTTAATCATGCCTAGTTATATGTAACCCTTTTAAGGGTCAAAAGAGAAAGAGTATTACTATGAATACTCACAAAAACAAAGATGAACCATATAATCAACGCAATTAATAAAACATTGTGAATAATTATATTGTTTTGAATTCCGCTAAGTAATTCAAATAATGCAATTTCTTTGTCATTTTTAAATTAAATAGTAGCTTGTTTTCTTTTTTGTTTTTTTTAAGTTAATTATTTATATATGCTTGTTATATTGACATTTGCAAAGATGAATTTCTTTTATTGGTTTACTCTTTTTTTCTCATACCATCTAATATGACAAGAATCGCTGGATATGGATGATCGTGCAAGGAACTTTGAAGTTGAAATACTTGCGAGTTTTGTACTGTTGCAAATGAAGGCATCTTTTATCTAAAATGTCAGATAATGGAAGAACAAGATTCTCAAATTTATATATTCTTTTATATGTTGTTAATCCATTGTTGTAAGATTTTGGGCAAGTTGAGATTTGTATCTCAAATTTCTTCTTTTTTTTTTCTTAAATATTTTTTTTCAATATCATGGATCAAATTGTTTTTTTTATCCGTTTTTTGTTTTTTTAGATATATGCTTTGATATTTTAGCAATAATGTATTTATAGCTGACTGTTATGATAAATATTTCTTATAAAGTAAGTAATGTGTAAAATAAAAACAATAAGAATCTTTTTATTATTGATTTGAATTGAAATATTTTTTAAAATTTTAACATTGAATGAATGAAAAATATATTTCATATTTTCTTACTTTCAGGAAAAAATAATTACTTCCTAATTGTAAAAGATGATACGTTAATATCCTAACAATATGTCCAAGCAAGGTTGAAAATAAAAATGATGAAATTTGATTGGTATAATTCTAGTACGCCTAAAGGCTGTGAGCACGTGTATAAATGAGTAGAACAAAACTAAGTACTTGAACTTCAATTTGCTTTCTAGAAGAAAAAAAATATTTCCAAGTGAAAAAAGGGTTAATTTTGAATTTTAAAGAAGCAAAAGAAAAATTATTCTTGCGAAATTTTTAAAAACATTAATGTAAAGACTTCTAAATTACAGTTAATTATTATGGGAATTTGTTTTATTTCGAAATGTGAAGGTGAGAAAATTTTAAACCACCAGAAATGTGTTGAAGAGTAAACAACTTAAAAAATAATACTTTTTAATCTCCCTTGGTTGACAATAGGAATGGCAATGGGTAGGGTATGGGTAGGGTACTACAGTACCCATCCCCATACCCGCGTTTTAAAAAAATACCCGTACCCGGCCCCATACCTACGTGGGTATGAACATTAATCCCCGTACCCGTACCTTCTGGGTACCCGCATACCCGTCTTGTACCCATTACCCGCGCTTATTTGAGAAAAAAATATTTATAAAGAAAAATATGTTTATATAATTTCACATAAGTAGCATAATAATACAAAAATTCAATATGTAGTTGTCGAACAAGTTATAAATATAGATAAAAA